GACGCAGCCGCCCATGCTTCTGTACTTCGACGCGCGACACCGTCAAAGACGGCACGCACGTCAGCACACGCACGCGCGCTCGACTCGATGGTAAAGTCGACATGCCCGGCGTGTCGATGAGGTTGATGCGGTGGTCCTTCCAGTCGAACGAGATGGCCGCCGACCCAATCGTGATACCGCGCTCGCGCTCTGCGGCATAAAGTCCATGGTCGTGTCGCCATCGTGGACCTCGCCCATGCGCGTGATGGCGCCTACGCGCAGGCTACCGATCATCGTGCTGGAAGCTTGAAGCTGTACCCGAGTAGAAGAGCATGCGCTCGGTCGTCGTCGTCTTCCCGGCGTCAATGTGGGCGAGGATGCCAATGTTGCGCAGCTTGGCAATGTCCGTGGGCACCGACGCGAAGCTCCGCGCGGCCAGCAGCACGCGGGCGCGGGACCGCGCCGAGACGAGTTGCCGCAACATCGAGTGGAATGGGCCAGTCAAATCCGGAAATGCCATATTAAGTGGTGATTAAAACTGGCATGTGCCAATGTTTACGTGATGGATGATGGCACATGCCACGTTTAGGAATCGACACCACGGTTCAGTCTCTAAGATATGATACCCTCTTGCAATGCATCGATAGCATTGGATTTGACAGGTTTGGCGTCCCAAGCTGGCGTCAACATGGCAGCGCAACCACGAACGGCAGCGCATGGACGTCTGGAGCAGCATCAAGGTGACACCATGGATGATGAAACCATTTCGAATCAAATCCGATTTCAATTTTGGTCCTGGAAATTTGGGTGATTTTTGTATGGTTGAAGCAGGGCAAATGCCCCTTGTACTGTTCGGCGTGTAGAGTAGTACACTACTTTATGACCTTCGAGAGCTTTCTAACAGAAGATAGCAGTCGACCATGTATTGGTAGTCTTGTCAAAGCCATGACGACGAGATACGCTGGGTCGATGAACATCACAATTGATTCATGGAACGCAAAACAAGCGACAGTCCAAATTGCCCCGTGCGATTCATGGTGTCCAAGCTCGGCGGTTCGACGCGTAGAAGCTGTCGCGGCCGTGTTTGCGATGCTTGATCTCGTTGTTCGATGCATGCACGCATTGGAACGACCATGTATTTTACACGGGGTACGAGGTGATTTTACTCTGCCAAGATTTACCAGTAAACGCATGGCACGAGCGTCGAAAGCGACAGAGAACAGGCTACAACGGCGTCGAGAAAACTCTCACATACAACTGAACAGTATAACATTGTCCCTGGAAAAATGCGATGCTGATAACTAGAGTGGTAGCCAGCGCTCGTAGTGATACCGGTAGTTGCCTCGACTCAACTTGGCACTACTGCGCTCCAGAGCATTCGTTGTTGTTGAAGTGGGTCGTCTATTACAGTAGATAAAACTATGCTAAATAAAACTGTCGGACGTTCTTCGTTGTGTGTACTCGGTTGAGGGACTTGATTTAGGTAGGCGGAGGCAGGAGCGCGATCCGCGGGACGAGGTGACGTCGCACTCCAGAGCATTCGTAGAGGAGACAGGCATAATGGTATGCCCCACAGCTTTTGACGTCATTACTACGAGACGCACGAGGTCCCTACACACCGAATTTGAGTTTGACGTCGCGCCACGCGTCGAGGTGTCCTCTGCGACTGCCACGTATGGCGCCCTGCTACCAGATACTACATGTAGTACGTTGGTACCAGCAATCTGACCAATCGCAGGTCGTGCATGCTAGAGACAACTTTCAGTGAATAGATCGATGGCAATGTCAACCACAGGATCGGTGCAACGCTTCATCCTGTCGACACGGACCAGAAATGGCAGCTTTAGGACATCAAGAGCAGTAGAACGAAGGCGATAATGATGGCAAGAACGTCTGCGTTCCATTCACCTTGTTACCCAAGACATCTAAAGCATCAAGCAACATCATTCGAGCCCAGAAGTTACGTACGAGTACTACGTCATCTCAGGCTCGTCGTTGATGCAAGAAGGACACAACCTCGATTTTTCATGCAGATTTAGGAGGATTTAGGAGGATTTAGGCCACTATCTACGGCGTCAAGCCAAACCGGTCGCGCAGCAAGTCGAGAAGCTCGTCACGTTCGATTGTGCGACTCTCAATGACGCGCCCGTCCTCAATGACACTAAACGCGTTGTCGCGCAGCGTCAGCAGCTGCTTTCCAGTGCGCAGGGCGACGATAGGATGCCGCGTCATGTTCGGAAACGGACTCGTCGAGCAGTACCAGTTGGCCATCTCGTAGTCCTTGGCGGCCATCTTCATGGCGGGATGAAAGACATAGCTGGGATGCATGGGCTTGTTGGGGCCCGTTGCGTAAACCACGGCCCAGTTGGCGCCGTCCGAGATGGACACATCCAAGCAGCCGCCATACGTACTTGGTTCCACAGCGTGGTTGACATGGGCGCGCGCGAGGGCATAGCGCTCGCCTGTTGCGAGTTCGATTGACGCCGTCGTGCATAGTCGCATGGGCCGGGGCGGCATGCCTCGCCCGCCAAAGCCCACGTCACAGAGGTACGGCGTGTCATCGCCCTCGACGTACACGAGGAGCAGCGTGTGCGTCAGTGCTTGAAGCTCATAGTACGGCTGCGCCACGTCTGGCGCTGGGAGGACGACGCGGCCGCCGATCGTATCAACTTGATACCCGAGCGATCGCAGCGCAAGGGCAAAGAGACCGTTCGTCTCGAAACAGTAGCCGCCTCGACGGTCACGGACGAGCTTCTGGAAAATCTTGTCCGAGGCGATCGAGACGACTTGGCCGGGAATCGAAGCATCGACGTGGTCGGGGTGGACGGGGAAGACGCGGGCAGGCGCGAGGTTCTCAAACGGGATCGCAATTGCGTGGGTCTCTTGGAGTAGCGTGAGCAGCTCGAGCGAGCGCGGGGCGTACGACGTCAAAGCGTCGCGCGTGAGCCCGAGACGAGCCAAATATTCATTCATGTTGATCCCATCGGCTGTGGACGTCATGTTGCTTAGTGTCATTGCTGTCTGTGGACCACGACACGTGAGACAGGCGGGGCCAAGGTGCGGTTCCGACGCTGCATCGACCAACGTCGAATACAAAAGAAGGAAGGTACATGCACTCCGACAAATCAAGAACGGTTCGGACTTCGAATCGAAAGATCGCAAGCTGTCGGGAAAGGATTTGGGCTGCTGCTTCGCGATGCGATGAATGGTGGCCTGCATCATGTGGGTGTTCTCTTCCAGTCGTCTCTACAGGACCGAGCCTTCCCGCCTTTGTGGGTCGCATCATGCTTACGAAGTCGAAAGGTCGTTCATCACCAAGAGAAGCTCCCTAGAATAGTTGGATGTATATCTCAAACTCCTGTCTACTATTGTATTGGTGCGTTGGACTCGAGTCCCTTGGTTGGACTCGATGGCGAAACGAATGCGCACCACTGGGGCTGCCACGTCATGGCGCAGAATATCCTGTCATATTCGATAGTGCACTTTCTGCAAAACCTCTGGCTTTTGATAGTGCGAGGTGGCTCCATGGACCAAATTGACCGAACGTGCCACGGCCAGGCGCGCGAGCTCTACACGCGGGTCATCCACGAGATCTGCGGCGAAGGCTTCGCGAACGACCTGCTCCCAGGCCGCGACGCTGCCTTCTACGTGGCGCTGCAAGAGGTACGGCCTACTGCCAGCTCGCCCGCCGCCTCACGACGCATGACTAGGCATGGATGGCCAAGCTCGCCGAGTACATGGCTTTACCAGCGCTACACGTCGATGAGCCTGCGACAGCTCCTGACGAGCCTGGTGCAACAAACGCAGCCGAAGAAGAGGCAAAGGAAGCACCTGTGCAAGACGCCGATGAAGCACGCGCGCTCGAGCCCGTCGCTGCCACCACGGACGAGCCAATCGAAGCGCCTGCCGCCATCCCAAACGAGGCGCCGGCTGAAGCGGCTGCGGTGGTGCCAGACGAATCGCCCGCGGATGAGGCCATGGACGCATCGGCCAACGAGCCTTCGCAGGCACCCATCGACGCGTCGCCCGAGCCACCTGTCGGGCAGTCTGTTGAGGGTCCCGAAGCGGCTCCAATGCAGGCCACGGCGTGCGACGTGTCCAGCGAATCAGACGACTCTGACGCACCGGCCTCACGCCCTCCATCGCCTTTGGTCCCGCATCGGTTGCCCATCATGCGGCCGCCTGTCAACCTCTTCAACATTGGTCGTCCTGCCGCGTTCATGGTACACACATCGATCCTTGCCAAGTACGCATGTTCATATTCTTGTAGAGAAACCCGCTCGCAGACAAGCCGCCAGTGCCAATCATCCTGCCGACACCTCCACGCCGCAAGGAGAAAACTCCGAAAGAGGTAATAGAATACGCTATCCCAGTACCCTCGACGACGGTGCTTGCATGCATAGCCACCGAAGAAGAGGCTTCGCGCGACCAAGGCGCTTAAAGCAACGACAGAAGCTAGCGGCCCGAGTGCTGCACCCGAAACCACCGATCCCGACGTCGAGCCAGTGACGCCAGCCACCGAGCGCCCATCCGATGCTCCATCCACGAGTGACTCTGCGCCGTCCGCTTCCGACACCACGACAACCAACGCGTTCACGGCTTCCGGCGCGGAGCTGGTACCTCTGGCTCCTATCAACTTTGCATGCGGCACGTGGCTTGGGATTTACACGTCGATGGCCCAACGAGGCCGGCGTACGGAAGGCATCTACCGACTCGTGCTCAAGGCGACGCTCCTTCGACTCTACGTGCAGGTGACTCCGCGCTTGCTAGTCCAGCACGCTTTCATTCGCGACGGCAGCGATATTGTCCGCGTCGTCGTCCAACGGCAGAGTGACGACGACCTCGTCATTCAACTGCCGACGGGGGCGACCGAAACACTTGCATATGGTCGCGTGTGCATCGCGGTCGACTATTTTTCACCGCGCGGCGAGGCCAGACTGCAATTGCCGCGATAATGAGCGCGCAACCTGCATCGAATAGCTTTCAACAAGTAGATGTATATGTATCGTTCAAGGGAGATTGTGAATTCCCTTGATATCGTTCGACGTGCGCTACGGGGCTGGATCCAGTGATGAAGGCGTGCAGTAGAATCGAAGCGTTGGTGACACAGCTCCACCACGCAGGACGCTGATGACTCGAGTTGGCATCCCAAGCACGCACGCGCCTTTTGCAACCTTCTCGAAGGCTCCCGATTACTTAACGAGAAGGCGTAATCGTGCATACTACCTCCGCGCGGGTGTCGATGGCAGAGCCATCTGCGGTGTAGCGGAGCTCTAGTAGAAGTACGTACTACTAACATTCTTTGGACCCTCCACCGACGCGGAACCCCACGCAAAAGACCGAGATGTGTACGATAAGATAAAAGCTTATCGGTACTGATGGTGCACGTCGACGGCGAGTCCTAGCCTTGCGCCGTGTAGCAGCAGTTACGAACGTTACGTCAAGTTGCATGGCGCGCTTCAAGCGACAGTCAATCGTATCCAGTGTATCGGACGCTGTATACCGATGAGTACAGTACGGCAAAGGTCCCTAAACTATGAATACTACAGTACATACTTTAGTTGAGCGTCGGTGTACATTGTATTCGAGTGGTCGATGGGATCGACTCGAAATGCGGCGAGTTGCTGCTCAGTGCTGTCCGACCACCCGCAGGCGTCTCCCGACGTTACCGTGCATGTACGTACCCATGCTTGGTGCGGCAACGACACTTGACTGCGTTCGCCCAGCATAATCACGCACCGCCACCTCGACCGGCACCTGTCCCATCGCTTGCCAACGCGTGCTGCTCCTATCACTACGATCCCTGCCTTTCCACCCAATGCCAGCCTCCATACACTGTATTTTCCTGTCGACAGCTTTTTTCGCTGCGTCATCGACTCCCGCTGCGGCCCAAGCCCAAGCTGCGCGGTTGGTTCTGGCTGCTGCTGGCGGCCGCCGTGGCGTCGACGTCGTCGCTGGCTCCATGGTCGCAGGCGCGCAGGTTGATTTGTGGCGCCGTCTGATCCGCGTGTCGTGTCACGGTGCGAGTAACGTGCGTGGTTCGCATGCCAGATTGCTGAAATCACTGGCGCATGTCGCGGCCACTCGTGAATACTCGTCATCAGAGACCCACCATGGTTGCCATGGTATTGACCGCGGCCACGACGTGCCCGTACACGCTGCCAGCAAACGCAACGCTCCTTGCGGCGGACGCCATGTGCCTCCAGGCGCGGGCCACGGTCTGCGTCGTCACGGCCAGCGCGACGGTCGGCCACGCCTGCAACGTGACCAAGACCTTTCCGGACGCGCAGACGACGTTCACCGACATGACGCTGCTGGGCGACGTCCGCAGCTACACGGCGCCGACGCTGTATGTCGCCGCGATCCTTTCCTGAGAGTCGCTCACATGCGGCGGGTAGGACGCTCCAGAGCGCCGCGGCCACGACCATCGACCTCAGCAGCATGCAGCTCTCGCCGTCCATTCACACCTTGTAGATCCACGACGATTGCGATGTCGCGCTCATGGTCGTGTGTGCTAGGTCGTTCCAGGGCTACTCGTCGCTGCGCGGTTGGCCGGCGCTGCCGACGACACTCACCACGCTGTATATACGAGTCAACTTGTAGCTGTCAACTGCGCGACTCATGCGGTGGATGCTACATAGGAAGGTGCAGAATGCCGGCATGACAGCGCCGCCATCGGTCACGGCGGCCAGCAGCCTCGCAGCCTTGTACGACCCAAGCCCGTGTTGTGATGCGCGCTCACGGTAGACACGTAGGGATCTCAGCAGCAACAAGCTCACGAGCCTCGCATCCAACGCGCTTCCGACGTCGCTCACGAGCCTGTACGCTGCAACAGCGATACCATGCAAGTGGCTGACTCATATGTCTTGATATAGGAACCTTGCGTCGAACCAGCTCACTGCCTTTGGCGCGCTCGATGGCATTCGCTTGACCTCTCTGTACGAGAAACATACTACATCATATCTCTCGTCTCATGTCCCTTGGCGCTAGCAACTTGGATGAGAACCCGCTCCAGTCGATCGAAAACCTCCAAATGACATCGGAGGCACCGGCCTTGTACGTCTCTCATCTTGCACCCTACGCTCATGATCCGTCGTCTAGTTCGTGCGCCAAGTGCAGTCTCTCGAGCTTCTCGATGGACCGGACGACGTACGACGGCCTCTCGCAGCTGCCGGCACCAGCTAGCTTTGTGTTTGCATCGCCGACCCAATGCGCCGGATCGATTGAAGATCTGTGGGGCATGAAGGCGTGTGTGTTTGGCGCCAAAGCGCTCAACAGTGAGTTCCCGCTCTTGCACCTTTTCGAGCTCATGCGATGCGTAGCCAGCGTCATCCTTGCCGGCTGCATTGGTGCGGCCGTCGTTTTCGCAGTCGCAGCTTTCATCTACTGCCGCCACTACAAGCACATGCGCGAGGCCAAGAGGACGGCTCGAGAGAACGACACGGCGTACGTGCTGCAGGTTAAGGACCTTCAAACGATGCGAGACATCGATCTGCTCGGAGACTTTCGGCTCCCGCTCGATCAAGTCGTCGTCCTCGATCGCCTCAGCACGGGGGACCTCTGGAAAGGACTCTTTGAAGGCCACGTGGTCTCGATCCGATACCTCTTTACGTCGTCGTCGACCACGTCCGAGATGCAAACCGGCATTCAGCAAGTGTTGGCGGCCACGCGGTATGTTTTTTTCCAACCCTACCCCCATGCATTTTCGGCCATTTGTCTGATTTTTGAAAATTGGTAGCCTCGACAGCCGCTACGTGCTCGCGCTGCACGGCGTGTCATGGACGACACCAAAAGACCTCATGCTTGTGCAAGAGTACATGGACATGGGCGACCTCGAAACGTACTTGCGCAACCTCAACACGCAGCAGATTCTATGGAAGTGGAAGACCAAGACACTCGAGCAGATTGTGAGTGCGCTGGCGTACCTCCACAACACGGCCAACTTTGTGCACGGCCACGTGTGCGCGGCCAACGTCCTCCTCGACGGTGTCAAAGGCGCCAAGCTCATGATGCTCGATGCCCAAGCGCCGAGCAGCAGCTTCCGCTACATGGCCCCCGAGGTGCTTCGCGGCGACCCGTTT